AATAACTCATAAAGGTTATATGAGTCAGTATAATCAACTAACTTTGAACGTAAGAGGTCAGTCGTCTTTTTTCAAGTAATTATTTTGTGAGAATAAAAAGAATCAGATAAGTGTTTATTTAGGGACAAATATTCTTCTTTATGAGAATTATTCTCTAAAAATAATTGATAAAATCACAAAGAAAGTTGATGGTAGAGAAAGTCCATTGATTGATAAGTAGTTATGTGCGTAAGTAACAATGATTTTTCATATAAGAATAAAAAGTGATATTATAATTTGTTTTCCTTAAAAGTTAAAAACCTGAAAAAAAAAAAACAAAAAAATGATTCAATGAGTTTCTTTAACCCAATGGTCAATCAGTCATTCACAGCGTCTTCAAATTTGAAATTAACAAATGGGATAATGCAGTCACTTGGAAAACAATCAAAATACACTAATAAACCACAACCTATTGTCAAAACAAAAACACTTCCAAAATCTTTTACCGCAGGTGTTAAAACAAAAAGCTCAATAAGGACTTTAAGTGAAATCGTCCAATCTAATTCAAAGAAAGAATTTAATTATCATCTTAGTTCTGATCAAGAACTTGTGTTAAAAGCAGCACTAGAAGGAAAATCATTCTTTTTTACTGGAGCTGCTGGATGTGGTAAGTCATATGTGTTAAGTGCAATTGTTGAGAAATTAAAACATGACAAAGAAGTTTATGTTACAGCAAGTACTGGAATTGCTGCATGTAATGTTAATGGAATGACGATACATTCATTTTCAGGAATTGGAAAAGGTGAAGGGAGTAGTTCTGAATTATGGGATAAAGTTAAAAGAGATAAAAAGGCATTAAAAAAATGGAATAAAGTTGAGGTATTAATTATTGATGAAATTTCAATGATTGATGGTGACTTATTTGATAAACTTGAATTTATTGCAAGAAAAGCAAGAAATAATAATTTAGCATTTGGTGGGATTCAAATGATTATATGTGGTGACTTTTGTCAACTTCCACCAATATCTAGAAATGGAACAACTAAATTTGCATTTGAAAGTAATTGTTGGAATAAGGTTATTCCATATTGTTATTATTTAACTACAGTTCATAGACAAAATGATCAAAAGTTTATTACTTTATTAAATGGTATTAGAATAGGTGAAATTAATGATGAAATGATAAATTGTCTTAAAGGATGTTGTGATAAAGAATGTAAACAACAATGTACTCACTTATTATCTTATATTAAAGAAGTTGATGATGTTAATACCAAAGAATTACAAAAGTTACAAGGAAATGAAGTAGTTTATCATTCAATTGATACTGGAAACTCAATTTATTTAACTTCAATGAAGATTACTGATGAATTACATTTAAAAGCAGGTGCATTTGTAATGATTAATAAAAATATTGATGTTGAACGTGGTCTTGTAAATGGAAGTGTTGGGGTTGTTATTGGTTTTGATGAAACTTCATTATTTTCTGGACAGCCTGTTCCTATTGTTCAACTCAGTAATAGAACATTACCAATTAGTGAATGTAGTTGGGATATTGAATTAGGAAATCAACTTGTTGCAAAAAGAAGTCAAATTCCATTACAACTGGCATGGGCTATTTCTATTCATAAAAGTCAAGGAATGACATTAGAACGTGCAGTAATTAGAATTGACAATGTATTTGAAACTGGACAAGCATATGTTGCTTTATCAAGACTAAAATCACTAGATGGACTTTATATTGAAGGAAGTGTAATAAAAGAAAGAATTAAATGTAATGAAAAAGCAAAAAAGTTTGACCTGTTTATTAAAAATGGAAGATACAATGCCCAATTTGGAGATAAAACAAAAGAGGTGGTTGACAAAGATATTATGATAATTGAAGATGATACTACACCAATTCATGAAAACAACACTACCACACACAATTTAGAAATTATGCCACCTCCACGTAAGAGTTGTGCATCACTCATGGACTTTGAAGATGAAGAAGATGATGAAGGGTTTGTTATGATAGAGTCACTACAAAATGATATTTTAATAAATAAAGCAGAGCAAACAAATAATAAAAATGATTTAGAGAGAACTAACACAGAAATAATACCACCAAAGAAAAGTGTAATTAATACAAAAATATTCACTGAATTAGAAAATGATTGGGAAGACATTGACATTGATGATGATATCCCAATCAAACCAAGAAGAACAACTACTCCTATACTTTCTTCGAATGACCAACAACCAAAAAAGAAACCTTTATTTTCTTCAGAATTATTTAACAGGGGAAATAGTAAAATTTATATAGAAGCACCTCAAAACTTATTAAAAGACCATGAGAGAAAAAGTGGAAGACTATCATTTTCATCACACCCTCCTAATTTAGAAGGGATTAAAAGACCTCACCAACCCCCAACAAACGACTTACTCCCACCTACACACCAAACATTTGAAGAGTTAACTACAAGTAAAGAAAAACAAAATGAAAGTTTAGAGCAAGAGGATAAAACAAATTATTTCGACATAACTGAAGGTTGGGGAAATAGTATAAATGAAGAGTGTTGTTATATTAATGAATTTGAAGATAATGAGGGAGAGAATTTAGAAAAATCATTAAATGAAGATGATATGTGGATGAAATTATATGGAAAGGATATATTTGAAGGAAATTGTTCTAGTTATAATGAAAACAAGTCAAATACTGTAGGGGCAAATAGAAAGTCTTCTGAAATTGATTCAGAATCATATGAACCAAAAAAGAAAACACAGACTATTGAAGATTTATTAAATGAGAAAGAACCAGAAAATATTCATCCTTGTGGGAGTAAGACAGATCCTATTAAAATAGATGATTTTGATATAGAAAATCATGAAGAATAAAATGTATTGTTAAATTAAAATTTTGTGTTATACTTTCTTTTATTCTTTTTTCTTCTATATTTCTTTCTTAAATAAAAAAAATGAAAAAATAAAAGTAATTTTAAAAGATCTCACTTAAGCAATTCAATTCTATGAACACTTTGATGAAACAAAAAATAGTA